CATGTCTATAATTAGGATTCGCAGTAGTGGTAACCCTAAAACCGCTTTCGTCCATAAATTTCAGTCGTCATGGATCTTATTATGCATGGTGTCCAAGTATGCCTGGGTATACCGTAAATTTCTCAATGTGAATCTCTGCTGAGCAAATTTTGTTGTTTGTTTGTACGTCCACTTTCCACCTGTGAAAGCAGTCTTCACCGCGCGACATATCGTCATCTTTGACACTACAGTTGGTGAAAACTGTTCAAATTGTTGTTTCATTTCTTTATACGTTATGGAAGGTTCGTTTGTCTTCAGGCTTTCAAGTAGGTGACGTCATTCTCAGTGAGTTTCTTTGGCCTCCCCGTTTCTCGTATTACTGCTTCACATGTACCATTTTCGACTTTGTTTTACACTATACCTGGAAAACTTGAATTTATCGGCAGTGCGCTGTACCACTCCTCTAGGAATATAACCACTTGACTTGTCAGCCCCGTTTTCACTGATGTCGTTCACTAGGAGAAATCCAAGGTCTCCACTGACAGGTTTGCCAGAACGATATTCTCTTTCAAGCTGATTCACCTGCATTTCTACGATTGGGTTTTGGTTTGCATTGATCCTTCACTAATTACACCGCTAGGCAATATTGGCGCCAATAAAATCGAACACTAGTTTTAAACAGAAACATTGTCACAACTGTAAATATTACTCGGTGCTTATCGGGAAAACAATCATAATATTATTACTTTACACTCACTGTAAGCGTCTTTGTTGACTGCGCCGTGTGATTGTTTCGCTCCGCTCAGGTGTTACCGGTAGTATCAAGACTTACCGGGGTAGTCGTCAGTATTCTAATTTAGACATCAGGTGAGAAGGAAAGGAATTTTTTTGTTGGGGAAATGAAAGTGCAGAAGAAGTTTAAAAAACAAACATGAATGCTTTTGTTTAATTGGCTATAATGTTCGCAGTATACTGTGGAATACTTTATTTTCGTTGGAATTAATTTTCGCTGAAAAGGCTTTTTGGGCGTTTTGTATGGAATTTATTTTCACTGCTTTTCGATGAGTTTAATGTGAAATATAGGAAAAAAGTATATTCGCTGGATTTTAAATTCCAAGCGAAAATAAAGTATTCTACAGTAATGTAAACTAATCATACTACTGGTATTTCACCTTGCATGTATTCATATTATTACAAACATTGATTATTATTCAGTCGTGGTTATGATAGCATACAAAATATCAGATTTGTTTGTTTTGAAAATCAAATGCAAGTTAAATACAATTATTTTTTCATCAAAAGGAAACATTTTTGATCGCACACAAACATAACATTACATAATGCTGAATGATATCCGTCATGTTTGTTTAATGCTTGAATTGATCTGAAACTGCCTCATTTGATCTGATAGGTCATACTATTCGTTAACCAATCAGAATGCTGGGTGGTGGCAGCCAAACATATTTCTCATTACTTTTGTATGGTGAATGCAACACAACACAGCAGTGGTTTATAAGTACTATCTTTTGGTTTTGCTTTTGGTGAAAAATAGCATGATTTTTTGTAAAAATTGTCAATCAGATTTTACCCATTTTCGTTCAAAATTTTACATGGTATTTTTGAATAGCCATCAATCAGGAACTAGTGCGAAAAAATTAAATTGGAATTAGCGGTTGGTGCCAGGAAAGTTTGAAATTAGATTACTTGTGTTACATTACTGAAACTTTGCTCTGCAATAGATATTTACTGTGACTCGTACATAAATAGTGTGTATTGCCACCAACAGATTTTCTACCTTCTTAAACATTAGATAACGTGTCCCACAGCGGGTCCCCCAGATAGGTCAGTTAGTGACAGTACTAATGACCTTTAGCACCTGGTAACAGAACATACAGAAAACTTCTTAAAAACAAACTGCGATAAAGATAAATAAATGTTAACTATTTGTAATCAGTAATGATTATGAGGTGAAGCTGTGGTAGCTGAGATAAGACTACCTCGTAGAACAGCGAAGGCTATTGACTACCTGAGGTAAGTAAGTTATCAGTAGTGCTGCGGAGGCTGCACATACTAGCAGAGACGGCGTAAGCTGAGACCACGTAAGGGTTAGTAAGGCAGCGGAAGCTGCCTGGCAAGGTAGAAATGGCGGAAGCCATAGCTACAAGTATGGTAGGTTAATATACATGAGGATGAAAATAAATACATACTATAAAAAAAACTAAGAGAAAACACTTGGGTGAACTATATACACAAGGATGACAAAAATAGATACTAAAAATAAACTAGGAAAATAAAATTTTGGGGGAACAAATGAGTATAATTGCACATGGGAGAAGTTTTGAACTGGTGGTTATCAGACAAATCAATTTAATTACTAACAGAAAAAGCATAGCTTCTGAAATTCTGTAAATTACTACAACATGCCATATATATAAATATTGCTCTTTGCACTTTCATTTTTTCTTATTTTATATGTCACTGATATGTTATTCTTTCTAAATTCCAGATTTTCCACCAGTTTCCAAAAAAAGTTTACATTTCACCACTCCAAAACACAACCACAATATTGAGAAGAAACTGGATAACTCACCGCTACCTGTTCTGGGAGAACTTCTATCACCTGAGCAATCACAAGCTATTACAAATAACGTTATTGAAAATGATGCACCAAAAATGCGAAAAGTTACAAACGGAAGGGTCGTAGTTGAAGATGAGTTGAACTTTTTGGAATGTAAGTAAGAAGTATCTTCGGAGAGACCATGACT